CCCCCCCCCCCCCCCGCCCGCCTGGAAGCTGTCAAGAGCTGCTTGCAGGTTTTGCAGGTGGCAGGCAGAGCTGCTGGTCATCCGCTGCGGGCGCGTTGCGTAGCTTTACGCCCCCAGGGCTGTCAAGTGTGAAAATGTAGGGAGGCGCTTGCTGCTGTTCAACCACAATGTACGCGAAGAGCTGTGAGCCCTTGAGAAAGTCAGGGTTATACTTGGCTGTGCAAACTGGGGATACTCACTCTGTCCTCCAAGGGAAAGAGAGGAGGGGGTTGGAAACAGCCCATGCAACTCCTGTGGACTGGATTAGGGCTCAGCAGCCTTTTCAGGGTTACCATCGAACTAGATACAAAAAGAGACAGGTTCACGGATGCTTGCTGACTCGAAGAGGTGTGGGAATCCACGACGAGGGCATTTGCAGTTTACAACCTGGTGAGCTTCTGGGCACGCTCTTCAAAGACAGCCCCGATAATCGAGCACCACGTTTAAGGCCCAAAGTTCACCCCGCCCCCCAGGTTTCCCCAAGACGACAGAGATGAAATGGCTTTGTCCTTGTGGGCTCAACGATAAGGATAGGGATGATGGTCCCGGCTTGTTGCCGAGTTTGGGACGTATTGCAGCCTCTTCCTGTTTGGGGACAGCGCAGTTGGAAATTCACGCTTCCTGTCTGCTGCTATGCAGGAGACAGGATGCCCTGTGGTTAGAGCACTTGCCTTGGAGACTGGGGAGACTTGACTTCAAGCCTGTGTTTCACCACAGAAGTCCTTTAGCTTCAACTATGAGAGAGCGCTCAGGATTCATGTATTTAAGACCATGCAGCTGGGATACTGGAGCCTGTATAAGTACTATGCGTCTGTAGCAATGGGGACATTGGGCCAAAGTGAGGATCAGTTGCATGTTTGTGGTGTGGGAGCCTCTCCCATTATACAGCTGCACATGGCTGAGCAAGCAGGATGGACCATTACATAGAGCAGCTAGGGTCCAACTTCCTCCTTTGAGAGGTCCTCTAGTCCATCACCGAGACAACCAGGCCCTTCCCTGGGAAACCATCCTTCCCTTGGGCCGCATCGCTGTGCACCTCTGCTTGGCCAACAGCCCCTCTCTTCACTTGTGGAGCACCAGAGCAAGGGTGGGTTCAGCTCTGCGTGCATTTTTTTTTTCTCTGCAAAGCAAAAAATGTGAAATTGTGTTGGCATGTCGTCTCCCCTGACTGGCGCAGACCTGCAGGTGGTTCAAGCAGGAGATGCATATCTTCAAAGATCCCCTTACACTTGGATTTCTTCATCTAAACCCTCAGTACAATGTGTGTGCGTGTGTTTTTCAGAGGGGGCAGGTTGTTCTTGGTTTGGTTTGGTTTGGTTTGGTTTGGTTTGGTTTAAATGACCCAGGTCCAGCACCTCTAGCAGAATCGGTTCCAGAATCACTGGCTGAAATTCTCGGGCCTGTTCGAAAGGAGAGCAGATGAAAATGTTATCTGCTGACCTGTGCATCTTGCAATGCCAAAACTTAGCAATGAAATTGCTTTTTCAAATTAGGAGGAGGAAATGATTTTAAAAGTCATTAACCATGTCAATATTATTTATGCATTTTCACATGAACGCCTATTAATATTGATGCTAATATTAGCATTAAAATTACAATCATACCTTGAAGTCCCAAATTAAACTCGGGCCCCTTTATGGTACTGGGGAGAGATTAACCTGTTCAAGTATGAAATCAGCTATAACGTGATTAACAGATAATAAAGGAGGATTTTTATGTGTTTATCTGTTTCTTCTTACCCCAGGTTTTGCAGAAACTGGGCAAAACAGTGGAAACTAAAGATGAGCAGTTTGAACAAAGTGCTTACAACTTCCAGCTGCAGCAGGTTGGGTCTGACTGAGGGGAAATAAGGCATAGAGCATGAATAGAAAGGGAGGGCGTGGGATCCTGAAAGATGCTGGGGGAGAGGGGCAGGGAATGAAGGAAGGTCTTATCACAGAATCATAGAAAATGAGGGTTGGAAGGGAGCTCAGGAGGTCACATCTAATCCAACCCCCTGCTCCAAGCAGGACCAGCCCCAACTACATCATCCCAGCCAAAGCTTTGTCTAGCCATGTCTTAAAAACCTGCAAGGATGGAGAGTCCACCACCTCTCTGGGTAACCTGTTCCAGTGCTTCACCACCCTCCTAGCAAGAGTTTTTTCCTAATATCCAACCTCAACTTCCCTTGCTGCAATGTGAGCCCATTGCTCCTTGTTCTGGCATCTGCCCCCACTGAGAACAGCCCAGCTCCGTCCTCTTTGCAACCCCCCTGCAGGGAGCTGAAGGCTGCTATTAAATCCCCTCTGTCTTCTCTTCTCCAGGCTAAATGAGGCCAGTTCCTTCAGCCTCTCCT